AATAGACCAAAATATCATCAATAAAGACGATGACAAATTGATCTAAATACTTGTGGAAAACACGGTTCATCAAATCCATGAATACCGCTGGTGCATTACTTACCCCAAACTGCATCACCACAAACTCGTAGTGACCGTATCTTGTTCGAAACGCAGTTTTAGCTATGTCAGATTCCTTAATCTTCAGTTGATGATAGCCTGAGCGTAAATCTATTTTTGAAAATACGCAAGATCCTCTCAACTGATCAAACAAATCATCTATCCTTGGGAGCGGATATTTATTCTTTATCATTAACCGGTTTAAATCCCGATAATCGATACACATCCTCATGGAACTATCCTTCTTCTTGACAAACAATACAGGTGCTCCCCAAGGCGAAACACTTGGTCTAATGAAACCAAGTTTCAACAACTCTTGAATTTGAGTTTTTAACTCTTGCAATTCTTTTGGTGTCATCCGATATGGTGCCTTCGACACAGGCGCTGCTCCAGGAACAAGATCGATTTTGAACTCCACTTGCCTGTTGGGTGGTCTTCCTGGTAATTGGTCCGGGAACACATCCACAAACTCACGAACAATTGGAAAATCATGAGGTGTTTGTGCTCTCGAATTTTCGTCAACAATGCTCACCAAATATCCTTGACAATCCTTCCGTCTTATAATCTTCCTTGTCTTCGCCATAGAAATCACCCGAGGCAACGTTCGCGTCTTCGAGCCGTAGAAAGAAATTTGATCCTCCTCCGAATGATAAAGAATTACCTCTCGGTCATGACAACGAATATCAGCACGGTAACGTGTTAGCCAATCCATACCGAGTATGAGGTCAAAATCCCTCATCTCGATGACGTACGCGCCGACCTCCAAGATTCGTCCTCCAATATTGAGTCTAAGGTTATCTGCCTTAGAACTCGTCACTATTTTCCGTCCTGAGGCTAAGCTTACCTCAAGAGGGTCAACAGTGTTAATGAATTTAGCTCCTATGATTTCTATACATCGTTTTGACACGAACGAATGCGTCGCTCCCGTATCAAACAATGCAAAAGTAGGAATATCGTTCAGAATAATCATCCCAGACATAGTACCTGGGTTCTGTTCTGCCTGAACTTGCTCCACAGCATACACTTGAGCTTGAGGTCCTGCCCTCTGCTGCTGAGGCTGCCCCTGATTCCTCTGCTGCTGCCTCTCTGGACATTCCTTGAGATTATGACCAGGCTTCCGACAGAAAAAGCAAATATTCTGCCCTGCTAAACATTCTCCTGGATGACTACGCCCACATTTGCCACAAGCTGGAAATTGTGGTCGATTAGCTTGCTGCTTCTGCTTGTTATTATTCTGGGGACCTTTCCACTTCCTCTTGTTCTTATCTTTAGCCTGCTGGACAGGCGTGGGCTACACTGGTGGTTGAGCTGGAATTTGAGCAATTGGCTGCACCTGAATTTGGCCATCGCCCCTCCGGAAACTTGCGTCTACTTCTTGAGCCTTGGCCACTATATCAGCATAAGTCTGAATACAGTGTCCAGCTACATGATGACGAATTTCTCGTTGTAACCCATCTTGGAATCGTCTTGCCTTTTTAGCCTCTGTGTCCACCAGATATTTGACAAAAGACCCCAATCTAGTAAACTCTCTCTCATACTCATCAACTGTACGATTTCCTTGGGATAATGCCAAGAATTGACGTTCCATCTCAGTCCGATAGTGAGCTGGATAGTATTTCTCTTCCATCATCTCCTTGAATTGCATCCAAGTGAGATTTTCTTTCTCCCCAGGACGCATGCCCCAGTAGGAGTTCCACCATAGCCAAGCATCTCCGGTCATTTGCAGTTGAGCACAAATAATACGCTGCCTTTCTGTGCATTCAGTGATCTCAAAAATGGTTTCGAGACCCTGAATCCACTCCTCCACTAGACAAGGATCTCCTTGTCCCGAGAATTTCTCAGGGTTGTACCCACGAAATTGAGTAACGACTTCTGATGTCGTTATTTCTCTTCGAGCTTGGGGTGCCATCTAAAATTTATCGTAAAAGATAAACTTTTAATACACTCAGAAAATGTATTCGTAATTCTATAGATATTGAGCATATAATATGATTCATAAAATTCGAATATCTTGTCGAGCATAGACTTAGTAATTTGCATATATTTAAATTTCATAAAAACTTTTAACAACACTTACCTGGTAGTCGGCGAGGTGTGAGTGTGGTGTGATCGATTTTCCTTGAAACTTTCTTTCTTAAACTTTTAGTATACAGAGCTCTTAATTTTAGCTCTGATACCAACTGTAACACCCCGCTTATCAGAGTAAATTTTTCGCAACTTATTTCGAAAATACTTAAAAAATTTTCGAAACCTTCTTAACTCGGGATGCTACTAACTTATCTACTTTAAAAATCTGTTTACTTAAACTTTATCTAACAACTAAGTTAGACATAAATAAAACAGATTTTAAACATTGAACAAATATAAAAAAAACTTAACAGTTCATACAATCAACTTGATAAATCAACCTTTAAAATCACACTTAAAATCACACTTGTTCAAATCTTAAAGAAACGTAGCGGAAATCTTACAAGCGTGGTTTACAAACCGAAATCTTATTGAAAATTCTCATTATAAACTTATTCACATCCACGACCACCACAGCTCCTCACACCTGCGCACCGTCTTTAATTCCTGAAAAAATGATAATAGTGGGGCGTGAGTACTAATCAACTGTACTCCGTAAAACCCATACTAAAGTGAACAGCAATAATAATATCAATATCATGATCTTTGGTATGTATTTAAGCTTAATCTTTCGGTATCTAACCGATACTTTAACTTGAACTTTGCAACTACCGGTAACTTGGGCCGGTTCTCACGTGATCACATTCTGGGGTCGCCTCCCACAGAACCCAGTCTTGACTGAGCGAGCTTAATACTTTACTTAACTTTATACATACCTCGAACATGATAATAGCTATTATACTCAATGTAATACCCAGTCTGGGTCCCCACCTTTCTTCTCGAAAATTGTTTGACAATCTTAAGTGTTGTTCTGGTAGCTGACTCCTCAAGCTACATAAAAATATAAGCAAATAAATACTAATTACTATGCTCTTAATATTCTCAATAAGTGCTTGACTTGGCTAACTTCTCTGGATTTAAAATAATCAGTTCTAAGTGGCTAACTCTTCCCAGAAAAATACTAAATAAACTTATAGAGCTTCAACTCGACATACATGTGGTCTTGATGTTATATATGACTGATTTCTCATCACAAAATTCTAAAATTTGACATGCATGCTTTCAACATATATAAACATGTCATAAAAATTTCATAATTTTATCATGCATATATCTCAACTTATGCCCTTTCAAAGTCACTGCTGGAACATGCACATAAAATTCAGCTTGCACGATAAACTTTAAAAATTTATTACTCGAGCTATACTTAACCAAAAGACATGATTCTTGCTCCTATGTACTCATTATTTACACAAGAAATAGCCATAATAATTTTAATATACCAGGTTATACATAGCATGCTTAATTCGAAATCAAACAACACATAACAATCATGCATACGATCTAACATAACTTCTTACTTCATGGCATGATTATAAATACTTAAAAGCTAGAACTTTAGCATATTTTAACACATATGAAGGCACTTTAAATTATCTATAAAGAATTCTAAAAGGAGGACTTATTACCTTCTTCTTCTTGCTTGAAACTAAAATTTGAACTTGAAAATTAATTCTTCACCTCTCCAAAATTCCCACAACTTATTAATCTCTAATGAGTTATATAACTTTTGAAACTTTTCTTTGATGAAAATAATCTAATTTAAGGCCTCTATTTATAGCCACAAAAGAGGGGACAAGATGATTGAGTGAAGAAATAAACAAAATAAACAAACAAAACTTGTAAAAATAAATGAAGATATTAAATGGTAATCTTAACTTATAAACTTAACCAATCTATAGTCAATGCTTAAAAAGGCCCCATAATGTGATCTCAATCTGATTGACATAAAAAAAATTCGTGAAATATGGAAAAATCTAGAATTTACGGAACCGAATTCGGACTTAAAACGTACAATTACCGTAAAATCAAAAATTCTAATAATTTCATATTTCCTTCTTTTGCTTTTGGTATTTTTTTTCTTTTAATGCTAAAAAAAACTTTTCTTATCTTGTAGTCTACTAAACATATAGAGAGGAAATAATTTAATTTATTTTCTGGAAGTGAAATCGAACTTAAATTTTCGACTACAATCGAAAACCGGAAAAACTCGAAAATTTTAAAACCTTCATATTTCTCTCTTAATAATTTAAATAGACTAAACTGTCTAAATAAATTAATATACTCAAATGATTAAATTAAACACTCATGTCAAATTAATCATAAACTTATTAAACAACTTGAAATAATTAATCCCTACTAATAAAATCTATTTCTAAAATAAACGGATCAGAATCAATTAATGAAATGGCTCGATTACTAAATAAAATTTAACCGAGAATACTTTCAACTTAAATTCAAACTTATAACTTATAACTTAATAACTGGACTCGCTACTAGAAACGAGCATTATTAATAAAAGTAAATATTTCAAATCTCAGAACTAAAATAATTACTTTTATTAATAACTGAGTGGGATATTACACCTTCACCTTGGCATCCCTCTCGTCGTCGATTGACAAAAATGACTTTTCGAACAGGGGAGATCCATCTGTACTCTTCACTACAGCTCTACGACCGGAGTCGTGCTTCTTCTTCGATCTCTTCTCCACTCTGGAGGAAGCTCCTGCATCAGACATTTTCACTAATTTTCTCTTCTTCCTCTTCTCTGGTTGGTTGGACTCCACAGACTTCAGAGGGGATGAGTGTTTCTCTGGCTCATCTCTTGGCACCTCGAAGTGCGTTAGCTCGGACATGACCAACTCGGTTCCCAGTACATTTGGCTCGGGCTCAGCTTGATTAATCGCAGCAGCATCCACAACCGGCAGCACCTCGGTAGGTGCAACTTCTTGTGGAGACTCCCGACTTTCCGGGATAGCCGCCGACGTTGCACTTGACCCCACTTCGGTTGACTTCTTACCAGTGGTTTTCTGGCCAGCAGTCCTCTTCACCAAGGCACGAAATAAATCTCTCCTCATGACGTTGGTTAATCGCAGATCTCGGCTCTTGCCAAATTTTGATTGCAGATCCTTATTCGGATAGCTACGTCTGAAGTCTTTGGCTTTCTTAACAGTCCGGTAACCTAAAAATCCGAGTAACGGATAGTATACTGCACCAAGACATAAGACAAACAAAATCACCAACAGTTATTTTGCGCGTATTAAAGTATTGGTAAAGCTACCGGATATTGAAGTTCCCTTACTGGGGTCAGATTTTGAAGTAGGGACTCCAGAAGATAGACCAGCAGCTTCAACCTTCGGGTCTACCATAAGCTTTCTATAGTCCCGAATATCTTTGTCCAAACCAGCGAGCACAAGCAACTTCCCGCCGAATTCCGGACTAAGTTTCGGCTCCTTCTGCTTCGTCTCTTTTTCTACAAAGGGTAAAAGTTCCAACCTGTTAGTGCACAGAACAAAGCCGACATCAGAAAAATATACAAGGAATAAAGAACAAATTGAACTCACTCGCTCCGGTATGAATTTCCATTGGGATTGTCATCCCGTCAATCCGAGGTTCATGGAATAAACTCTCAGATTGCCATTCTCCTCAAACCCACAACCATTCTTCCTGGAAGCCATGGAGGGTTCCGGGATGTCAGTTATTATCTCACCGACTTGCAGACCATGTTGCGGTTTCGCTCCGGCAAAGAAACAACACGAAGACTTTGCCACTCTCCTCTTTGGGCTATTTTTAAAGGCGAAAATACTTCTCATTTCGTCACACGACGGCAAACCCTCACCTCTCTCATGTAATAACACCATCAGTCCAATAATTTTCTTCCAGCTATTCGGTGTTATTTGGCATAGCGGTAACCCCCAACTCCGGAGGTATTCCGTGATCAAACTCGGCAACGGGAACCGCAATCCCGACCTCAAACTCTCAGCAAATATGCCGACACAACCCGGAGGAGGAATAGTTATTCTCTTCCTGGGGTAAGGCGCAAAATTCTTCACCGAGGGTGGAATCCGAACTTGTTCTCGAAGCATCACCACATCGGCGTCGGTCAAAATACTCGACTCACCTTCGAAATTGACCACCGGGTCAGGCCACCGCCTCACTGGTCTCCTCCAATGAGGTTCCTCGACATCAGCCGCATTTTCCTCGCCCACACAGTCACCATCCTCATCGTTCGGCTTAATATCTAAGTGCCTCACTAACATCTGGATCCCACCGATAATACTCAAAAGCTAATTCAACCAATTCCGAGTCATGGTATACCTCCAATGGAACCGAATCCGTACTGGAAAAACTCGCAACCGCCTTACCCTTTCCTTTTGACACCATCGAATGAAAATATATAGGACAAGGAAATGAAATAAAATCGACAATGAAGCTTACCAAGAGATGAACTAACGGACACTCGCGCACCAAGAACAAATCGCAAATTTGCAGAAGAATGTCGATAGCAATACTTAAGAATTTGAAGATAAATGCAAAAGTGAAGAAAGTTCGATTAAAAATCTCGACGCCCTATTTATAATCTCCGATTTCTGACCGTTGGAGACATTAATTAAGGGCGCGTGCAACCGACGCGACCCCTAATTCCAAGCGGTGCCATCCCTTCATCTGACCAGAACCTACTGTACACGTGGCACCCTATTAAAGTAACCGTTATTTCATTTAAGACCATTACGGCGCGACCCTTCACACTGCGCATTAAATCGCCGACCGTTACGTCTCTTCAGATTTTTTCTACCAGCAATTTGTTGCAATTTCACCAAGTGTCCTCATTTCAGAAAATGTTCGTCACCCCGGATTATATAATCCACTTCGGTCACTTCGTCACTTCGTACACACAAGCATATCCGAATAGGCGCTTCCACCTTAAAAGTTTATTACCGATTCAGAGTATCGGTCCGTTTTGCAGTATCGACGGCCACCACTTCGTATGCCCGCCAATACTGGGGGTCTCTCTGTTATCATCCGATTCAGTAAATCAAGGTTATTAGCCTCGAACTGCGTTATTACCGATAATGACGTGACCAACAGTCATCTCGGTCCACATATCGAACCGACCAAAGCTATAGAAAACCTAGCTGATCCTCACAACCGAGGTCTTTCCAGAACCGAAGTCGATATAAACCGAGGTCATCACCTCCTAAGCTGATGACAAGGCACCTACGCGCCTCTTTCGCAAATCACGAGACCAAGTGGGACCCACTGATGCTGCCGCCCACCAAAAAGTAGCTTTATGTAAAAAGCATCGCACAAATCTCGATATGTATCTAAAAAAGTTACTATAAATAGCAAACTCATGATACTTGTACGGGATTAGATTCCCAAACCGAACCTTTTTATGATGAAACAAGAAACATCTCATAGAAGCTTTTCACCTCGGTTCACCTCGGACCGGGGCCATTGTTGAGTATTTCATACATACTTTACGTTCAAATCACTAATAATCATCAAGTAAATCTATCATCAGATCGTTCTTAACAATCGCATAACAACAGGGTCTCCTTAATTTATTTTTTTGGTCGGTCCCACATGTTATGTACATCCTATATACACTATTATGTACCTATACATTTCTCTAATCCCCTATATATAATTCCCGAATGCGCTGAGCCTGCGTGACTGCTTCTGGTGCTTCGGAATCATAATTGACGAAGAATCATGCTTCGTAATTAAGTTTGGACAAATAATATTGATATATTAATTATTAATAATCTAGGTTCGGACATTCCCTAAATATTATTTAGCTAACTTAGGTATTTTAATATCATTTGTACTAATATAACCCTTTAATTCTTTGTAATTATACATAGTGAGGCACTGGTGACTAAAAGTTGATAGCTTTTGTGTTTCTTATCGGTTTTACATATATAATATATCATCTTTTGATGATCTTCGATTTTACATCCATATTGTATATATGAAATAAATAAATTATATTTATCTTTATAATAATAAAAAATAATAATATTTCATAAAATTCATTATAAAAATAAAATTATTTCTTAATTGATATATTTATGTATAATGTAGTTATATGTTGTAAGTTAAAAACATTATTCTAATATAACACATGTAAGTCGCACAAATAAGAAGTGTCATACTAAATATATAATAATATATATATTTTATACATGGTATTTAAATTTTTAACTAATTTTTCTCATTAATTTTAGATATAAAAAAAAAATTAGCAAGCACCCGTGTAATACACAGAAGTTGTACTAGTAATAATAATAATAGATGGGAACAACTATTGAGTTTGTAGGGTTGGATGTGGAATATTTAAGTGCATAGACATTTGACCTGCAACTAAGTACAATAATGTAAGATAGATTACCGAGAGACATAAAGATTTTTAAGTTTTAAATCAAATTATATTTTATTATTTGCTTATATTTTTACTTTTACATTAACCGAAAATTTGAGCACATGTGTTCTATTTTCAATAATATCAAAAATCAAATCAGAATGTATCCTAATAAAATTTTATACCAAAAAAATTATAGTCATTCCATACCAAAATTGAATATCTCAATAAAATTTCATGCCAAAAATATTTCATCCAATTTATACCTTAAATTACTTTATTTATTTCCCAATATAGTAAATAAGATTTTTTTGGCTGGAAACAATTACTATTTTAAAAACTATCAAATCTTTATATATATATATATATATATATATATATATATATATGGGGATCCAATGAGTCCACTCCTTAAAATAAGTTCACTCCTTAAAATGAGTCCACTTCTTATATATATATTAATGAAATAATAAAATAATTATTAGTTGACTCCGGCGTTGACCGTTGACTTCCGACGTTGACCGTTGACTTCCGGCGTTGACATGTTGCCTTTGGTTTGCAATATGTATGAAGTAAATATGCATCCAGTACCATGCATTCAATATGAACTAAATATGCATGAGATATGAATTGCAATGCAGTCCTTATGAACTAAATATGCACCAATAATATCTACTAAGTATGCACCTGTTATTAACTAAATATGCATCTGTTATGAACTAAATACGCATCATGAATAAACTAAATATGCAGCGTAAAATATGCAATAAAAATGTACATTTTATATAGGTAATATATGATGCATATTGTTATCATCTGATCCGGTAATTCGGGATTACTTATCCAAGATCATGTGTTATGAAAATCATCATCAGCGGAACACTTGAATCCCGCTTGTCCCGAGTTATGTTGCAAAACCGAGCTTTGTCCGGCATGAAGGAAAACCGACTTGCTCCATGAAGACCGAGGTCACGACAAACCGAGGTCATCGTAAACCGAAATCCCCATGAACCGAGGTCACCATCCACGAAGCTGGTGACAAGGCGCCTATGCGCAATTTTCACACATCACGAGATCCTTCATCATTCAAGCGGGACCCACTCACATGGCCGCCCACCAAAAGTTACTTTACAAGAAAAAGCTACCGTACACCTTGAAATACAGGCCCAAAATGTTATTATAAATAGGACGTTTATATTCTTGTATAGGGATCGATCTCTGAACATTCAATACATATATACAAAAACTGTGCCACCTTTCACCTCGGTTCACCTCGGACCGTGGCCATTGTTTGTGTCTTGAATGCATGTTTTACGTTCAAGTCACTCAAAATACTTAATTAATCAAACTTTCAATCGTTGTTAATAATCGCATAACAACAGTTTGGCGCTAGAGGAAGGGCCTCATAAGTTTTTTGAGGTTAATCTTCAATCCTTGGCTTTTCAGCCATCTCAATCACTGTAAACATGTCTCATTCAGATCATCGTGGTCACACGTTGTGAGACGGACACAGTCGTTGTGCTGCTCAATCTGCCAGGCGTCCTGCGGCAATACCCAACCTACCTGACTATACCACTCTGTTTCAAAATCTGGAGTTTGCACGCGGGTTTGCTGCCTTGTTGGCTCAAACTGTCCCCGGGATGTCGACGACAGCGCCGGGACAATCTATCATCCCTACAACCCCTGCAAACCCGAGAATTCCATATGCCCGACGTGACGGTGGCGGGACTACTTCTCACG